GGAGGGACAGCAGCTGCCCACAGGGGGACAGTGCCCTGCCACCTGGCACTGGCCACCGCGGGAGCCACCTCCAGCTGCTGACCTCTTTCCCTCGGCAGATCCAGCCCCGCAGGTACCAGCGGAAGCTGCCACTGCAGGCCAACTTTTACCCCATGCCCGCCATGGCCTACATTCAGGACATGCAGAGCCGCCTGACGCTGCACACAGCCCAGGCCCTGGGGGTCTCCAGCCTCAGCAGTGGTGAGCTGGGGCTGCGGGGCTGTGCCTCGGGGGGCCTGCTGCAGAACTGGGGCTGCCCTTGGCATGGGATGCTGGGGAGAAGGGTGCTGTGGGCTGGGCACAGGGTGCCATGGTGCTGCTGTCTCTGGGGGCTCCCCAGCTGCCCCCAGTCCTGTGGGAGCATTTCCATCTGTGGCAGCAGAGGTGGATGGCTCCTGTTAAAGCCCAGGGCACTGGGACCTGCTCTCTGCAGGTCAGCTGGAGGTGATCCTGGACCGGCGCCTCATGCAGGATGACAACCGGGGCCTGGGCCAAGGGCTAAAGGACAACAAGCGCACCTGCAACCGGTTCCGCCTCCTCCTGGAGCACCGTGCCACTGCCAACAAGGTGCATGGGCTGTGAGGCCACAGGACGGGGGTCGGGTGCAGTGCCGCTCGCCCAGAGAGCCCAGCCCTGCCTTGGGATGGAGCAGGGTGGAGGTGTCTGCAGAAAGCCACGCATGAGATGGATGCAGGGTCTCCTCCCCTCCTGCCCCATGGCCGTCCGGCCATCGTGCTGGCACTGCACAGGGTCGTGCTGTGCCTGGAACACGGGGGTGTGGGGAGGGTGGGACCATGGAGTGGGGTTTGTCCCTCAGATGGGGTGCAGAGCCACGCTGCCCTCGGAATCACCGTGTTTTTGTCCCGTCCCCTTGCTGCTCTCTATGCATGCGCCATGTCACCCGTTCAGAGCTCCAGCTTCTTTTCCAAACTGGCCTCCGTGTTTAAAGCCTTGGGCTTCCCCGGCACCAGGACTGGCAGCCCAGAGGTAACAGCCGGCCTGGCCCCACTGTCTCTCCCTGTCTCGTGCACTAGCTGCTAGCAACTAGCCTAGCCAGGCCCTGTAGCAGGCCCATAGTCTGACCATCGGCTAGCTGGGGTCTGGTGCAGGCTGCCCAGCCAGCAGCTGCCCTCTGTGTTTGGGTGCTGGGGAGGGGGTCAAGCCTGGGTGGGTGCAGCTCTGAATGCCCTATGCTGGCACGTGCCTATTCTCTGGGCGCTGCTGAAGAGGCTGCAAGGAGCGGGAGGTCCCATGGGCCCTGTCCAGGCTCTGCCTGGCCCTGCTGCTCCCCTGGCCTGTGCTGACCCACGTGCTCTTTGGCAGGTGCAGGATGGCCGCCCGATCAGCTTCCCCTCCCTGCTGAGCCACATCACCTCCATGCACCTGAATGCTGAGGCCCTGGTCATGCCTGTGGCCCAGGAGAAGCCGGCCCCACCAGCCCTGCACTCCTTCATGCCCCTTTCCACCACCCTCCCCTGCGACTTTCACATCCTTAACCTGCGGATGCTGCAGGCAGAGGTGAGCTGCGCCCCGCAAGCGAGGTGGGCATGGCTTGGGCAGGACTCTCTGGGGGGGTATCGCACCCACTGTCCCCAGCATTGCACCTCACACCCTGTTTCCCCGGCAGGATGACTCACTACCCTCAGCTGAGGCAGCCCTGATCCTGCACCGCAAAGGCTTTGACTGCAGCCTGGAGGCCAAGAACCTGGGGTTTAACTGCACCACCAGCCAGGGAAAGGTAAGACCGGGCTGCCACCTCCACCTACTGCTGGGTCAGAGCTAGACTGGGGCCCCCGGCACGTCTGGTGCTAGGCCTGCCTCCTGCATCCCGTACTCATGCCAAGCCAGGACGGAGGCTGGAGGTGGCCCCAACTCGCCCAGCACCAGAACCTGTGGCTGGTCAAGAATCCCATGGTGCAGCATGCAGCCCTGTTCTGTGCCTTGCCCAGGCAAAGCTGGAGGATGTTGGTTTCTCACAAAGTGGGTCTGGAGCCTTCCACGAGTCCTGCATCCCTTAGTGAGGAAGGGCAGAGCCTGGGCTGGGCTGGGTCAGCGTGGTGCCCTGGGTGCTATGGGAGGCCTGTGAACTGGCTGCTGGCACAGTGCGTGTGGGGTTGCCCTGTGCATGGTGCTGTGCTGCCAGGCACCACATCCCACTTTTCCAGGCCACCCACCCTTCTCCCTCCTCTCTCCCTAGCTGGCCCTGGGCAGTCTGTTCCAGGGCCTAGAGCTGGGCTCCCTGCAGCCCACTTCACTGACTTTGATGTACCCGCTGGGCACAACCTCCAACAGCACCAACATCCGCCTGGACCCCATGGAAATTGCCACTTTCCGCATCCGCCTGGGGTAGCGTCTCCTGGAGCGGGAGAGAAGCAGACTGGCTGGGCAGCGTGGGAGCAGCTGCGTAGCCCAGCAGCACCAGCATGGCCCGGGAGAGGCTGGGCCAGCAGGCCCGTGGCTGGCAGGCGGGCGCTGGGCAGGAGATGCCAGACTTGCAAAGGCTGCTGCCTTCTAATTTATTAGTCCTGTGTTCTCGGATAGATTTCAGAAGCGAACTGCTGTGGCAGGGCTGTGCAGAGGCTGCTGGATGCTGCCTGGGCATAGAGGCCACAGGCTGGGCACTGCTCCGAGCAGAGCACAGCTGGCAGGGGCAGCGGGCCAGGTTCTGCTGCTGCTGGCAGGATGGGCACAGCTGCCCTGCATTCACACGGCTGCCCAGGAGGGTGCCCACCCTGGCATCTTGGGGCAGAGGCCCATGCTGGCACCTGGGCTCCCCCTAACCCACGGGGCAGCATGGGGGCTGCCAGGAGCCTGGCGGGGTTGGGGCAGCTGGCCAGGGAGGTGCTGTGGACTGGAGACTGAGCTCGCCTGGAGCTTGTAGGAAACATGAAGCTGTTTCCAAGGGCCCTGCTCTGTGTCTGGTTTGTGGTTCTCACATTGGTTGCATGGGGAGGTGGGGAGATGGGGCAGCACCCCAAGGCAGCGGGGAGGCAGGCTCGGAGCTGTGGCCAGGGCCAATCTGGGTGTGCTGGGCAGGCTGCTGGGGCTGTGCCATGCTCTGCCCCATAGGGTCCCTGCCCCACCGGTGCTCCAGGGACTGAGCCAGGCATGGGGCCCCAGGACACCTGTGAGAGGCCGGTGGCACGGCCAGGCCCAGCCGTGCTTGGGGGCAGGCAGCGCCTGGTGCTGGCAGGAGCAAGGGGCACTGGGTGCAGACTAAAGCTAGGCAGCTCCCTGTGCAGGCAGCAACATCCAAGTTAAGCATGCGAATGGTGTCTTCCAAATTCAGTGCCTTTAGCCTCCTTCCAGTGTGAGCCTGACAGCCTGGTCTCCACTGGGGCTGCCAGCGGCTGACAGGCAGGTGCTGACAGTCACTGGGGACCTCCTGGCACCCCAGGAAGGGGGCCTGGCCTAGCAGGGAGGGGATGGGGGTACATCGTCTGTTGCAGCACCTGCATGTGCACTCCTGAGCTGCTGGGGCGAGCGCCTGGCACAGCAGTCTCCTGGGGCTGGGGCGTGCTGGCTGCTCTCAGGGATGAGGGCCGTGGAGCGCTGCCCTGGGGCACTGCTGGCCGTGCCGGGCTGGCCAGAGCTGTGACAGAGGGTGCTCTGGCATCTCAGGAGCCTGGGCAACCTGTCTGCTGTGTGCCCCAGGGGCTGGGGGAAGCCATGTCCCCGAGAGCATCCTCCTGGTTGCTGTGGGGACCGCAAGGGCTGCTGAGCTTTCCTGTCTCCCCCGGGGCTAATTACTGCTAAGGAGTGCCAGCAGTGAGGGCCATGGCCACCTGTGGGGAGGGCTGGGTGAGGAGATAGTGCGAGCTGAGCTCTGTCTTTGTTTCCTGCACAGCCTTCAGCACAGCCCACATCCCACAGGCTCAGCCATGGCCCCAAGAACAGGCAGAGTGCATAGAGCCAGCATGGACTGGCCCCGGCAGCTCGGCCCCTTGCACTGCCCCAGGGACGGCCAGGCATGGGGCAGGGCAGCAGGGCAGGACCCCAGGCCTGGTGCATGGCTGGGGATGTGAGCATCCTGCGGGGCTGTGCCAGTGAGTAGGGGACCATGGCCCTGCACTGGCACTGTGTGCCACTGGTGGCTCTGGCAGAGGCCAGCTAATGGCATGGCTGGCAGGGGGCCAGGCTACTGGCACAGGGCCCGCTGCCCGCTGGGGCTGGGCTGCTGAGGGGCTGCAGCACAGCCTGCCTGCCCATAGCCCCGGGGCCCGGTGCTCACCCCAGCCTGGCCTGCGGCCCTCGTCCGTGACACTGGGATCCCCAGATGGGCTGAGGTGCCCAACCAGAGCCCATGGACTGGCAGCCAATGCCCCACTGCGGGGTGGGGAAGGCGCCTCCCGTCCTGCACTTGGCCCCTGAGAAGCTCATTAGTGACGTTCCCCGCCTCCCGCCCTGGTCCCTGCGGAGCGGGCAGCGAGTGCAGGAGGCTCTAATGGCTCCAAGCGGCTCTTGATGGGCCGTGATGGAGGCGGGAGCAGGAGGGGCTGTGGTTTCTGCCTCTGCCGGAGCCAGAGCTGCCACTGCCCAGGGTCGGCCGGGAAGATGCTGGGTGGGCTCCTACTCTGGCTGCTCCTCGCCACAGCTCTGTGCCCTGGCCTCCTCGGGACAGGTACAGCCCCGTTCTTGCTCCTCCTGCTCCCTGAATGTGTCCTCTGTGTCCCTGCTGGGGCCTCATCCCTTGTGGACTGCTCCCCAATGGCCCCTGAAGGAGGCTGGGGGGGAGGTCTGTGCTGGGAGACGGTGGTCTGCGCTGGGGATGGGGACCCAGGTGTGGTGGTGCCCGGGCTGGTCTCACTGCAGCATGTCTATGGGGTGAGAAGTGCTGTCCCTGTGGGGTGGTGGGGAACAGGGAGGGCATTCAGCAGGAGGAAATCGGGGCTGGCCTGGGGGCTTTCCCCTCCCCTCTGCCACCATCATGCTCCTTGCCCATGTTTGCCCTTGCCGGGGCGATGGGGTGTGCCAGAGGTCACGGCACACATGGGTCCAGGGCCGCCAGCAGGCAGTGATGGGTGGGTGGGTCTGTGCTCAGCTGGTGCTGCCCGTTGGCCTGGAGCGCAGCCACAACCGGAGCCCACTCTGAGGCCTGAGCCAGGGGCTCCTTTGCCGTGGCAGCGAGGCCCCACGGGGCTGTGGTGCTTCCAGCCCCACCCGGCCCATCGCTGCTGGGGCTGGGGAAGGCTCTGCTCTGCAGCGTCCCTGCAAGGGCCACCTCACTGGAGCTGGCAGCCCATCCCAGCGGCACTGCGCCAGCTGCCAGCACGCTGACTCGCCTTGATGCAAGGGCGAAGCCCAGCCAGCGCCCCACTCATGGGCTCTGCAGCACCCTACAATGGGGGCTGAGCCCTGGCACTTGCCAAGCGCCTGCTCCTTGCCCCAGTGTCGGTGCAGAATCTGCACCTCTGCGAGGGCTACGCAAGCCCCGACGGCCGCTACCACCCTGGCTTCTACTGCCCGCGGCTGACTGACCCGGCCGGCCACCGCTACTGCTGCCGTGCCAGCCCGCGCGCCCTCAAGTCCTGCTGCTCTCAGCTGGCCCTGGAGGCCATCACCGGGGTGAACCTCTCCAGCCTGGCCAGTCCAGGCCTTCTCCGGTGAGCCGGTGGCAGCCTGGCTGTGGCACTCGGGGCCATGGTGCCTGGGAGGTGCTCAGGGGCGGCAGGGGCTCCCAGCGCACGGCCCTCGGGGCTGGTGTGGTGTCACCCCAGGGCCCAAAACTGGCCCTGACTGGGCCCTCCCTGGCTCAGGGGTGCCAGTGGGGGGCCGTGGCCACTCCCTCCTGAGCTGCCCCCCCCC